TGGGATTTGGGATTTGGGATTTCGGCATTTGGGATTTCGGCATTTGGATTTTGAATTTGGGTGGCAGGTATAGGCTATGATCAATTCTTTAGGTTATATACTCTTTAGAAAATATTTTTTCAAATCGAAATTAATTATCCGAGTTTGTATATACCAAAATTGAATGGGTTGCGGTTAATGTAATTCTTTCGAAAAATGGGTATGACTAAGACACGAGATCGATCAAAGGTTTTAGAATCCGTAGCTCTATGAAATAAGATTGTGCAAAATATAGCAGGCATTAAAGAGGATATAGCATTGCTTAAGGAGGTCTTAGGAAAAATAGAGGCAAAGCCCCATTACTCCATAATAATCGATATATATCAGGTACATGGTACACGTCAATGCCTTGGGTCAGATCTGTCAATTTGAAATCTAGCAATACGTAGGATATAACAAAAAAATTAACCTTGAGTATGATGACTCAGGTTATAATGATTGGGTACTGTATTTTTATTATCTTGTAACGGGTCTTTGACCCTATTTTTTATCGCAGTGTTTGAGCTATAACAAGTATATGTTCTGGACCTAGAACGCCAGCTTTACTGAATGCATCGTATAAGGCATTTGGTCTATATTTTGACAGGATTAAATTCGGGTGATGAAGAAATCTTGTAAGTATATTATCCCTCCATTCCCATATTTCATTATCTTCCCAGCGCATTTCTAATAATGCAGATAAGCTGGAATAATTCATTCTGATCAAGTTTTCTAAAAATGTTTTTCCATTTTTTTCTTTAGTGAATAGACTCATTCCTCCTTCCACAACAGTACCTACAGAAATCGGATATCTTCTACATAGATCTCTTCTTACCGTTAAAGTAGAAAGGGGTAGGATCAAAGCCGAATAATAAAAATCAGCTAAGAGATGAATTGTGCCATATTTGTCAGTATCTATTGGAAGAATATCTTCTAAATAATACGAAAGATCTTCAACGTATTTATAACTGTCACGTAGCAACCTTTTGTATAATTTCCCATTCTTCTTGATCCAGCGATTAGTGGAGAGATTAAGCACTTCTTCGGAGATATCAAAATCTTGGTCGTTCATTTTTTAGTATAGTATTGGTGTGGTATGTATATGGTATATGTAAGTAAAGATATTTTATCTCATTATATATTCGAAATATTTAAATTGATATTTGAATCTTATACATATTATATATATTACATCCTAAAATACTTTCATAAATCGTTCTATTTGCTCCCATGTTAAAAGGGATGGTTCTGTTTGCGAAAATAAATGCTGGCGCCCTACGGGTTGTTATAGACATTGGAGTTTACATGAGAAAAATATAGAGAAAATATCTTGCGGTATCTGTAGAAAGCCTACTATATCAATTACGGGGTACTGCCCAAAACACTCTGGTCGATTTCATTCATTA